TTTAGGGGATGTTCAGTCTTTGAATTAGAGATTCAAAAGATTTTGATTTTTTTTAAATTAATTTTTTGAGTGTTTTTAATATGATAATATCAAAAATATTTTTTGAAAAAATAAAAAAATTATTTTAATATATTTTTAAATTTAAAAACTTCAAAAAATACCTTGTAGCACTATTGCAGACTTCCGTTGATTGGGCAGCATTTAACGACTGAGGATATACCTCCATGAGCACCACACCCTTATGCGTCCCACCAGCAAATAAACAAGGCACGATAATTAATGGGGCCTATAAAGGGCATAGTGCTACGAAGATGCGATTGTCTTTTTCAAAGCAGCACAGTGAAAAACAAAATTAACACCGTTATATAACTGAGAAATAGCATTGCTTAGCGAGTAGTCTATGGTATCTACGAGCCATGTGTGTCACAAACGACTTTTTAAACGAGTTACTGTAGAGAGAACAAAATTATATAAAAAAAAATTAAAATCACATTCAAATTTATAATGATATTATTAAAAATATCTTAACAAAATAAATCTAAAAATATATAAAAAAATAAAATTATAATAAATCATACAAGTCTTTATATTTTTAAATGATAAGCATGCCTTACATTATTTATTATTAATGATATTTTTTAATATTATTTAATTTATTTAGTTGATATATTTTTTATAGTGTTAACAGTGTTGCGGTTAAAATTTTAATGTCTTTAGCTTTTTTCGTCTTTATGTTTTTTTTTCTTGTTATAATTTATATCAGCTCATTTAATAATTCTAATAATTCTAGAGTAGTATATATGTGACTTGTAAATTGTAAATGCCATTTATAATTGGTTCAACTATATTATTTTCTAAATTAAGTTTTGAAATGTGTGGCTTCTTCTTTCTTTTCTTTTTTTGATATTTTAAAAAGAAAAAAACTAAACATGCCATCGCGAAGAAATTTGGATACTTTTTTTTGTCATGTATAGTATAGTTTGGGGGAACAAAAGGTCACCTCTCCTTTCTCCTCCTGTCATAATTAATGATGTGTTAAAGATTGTGATAAAAAATTATGGTAATGTTTATAATTTAAAATATTTTTTATTTAAAAATGTATTAATTTTTTAAAAAAAAAATATTTTTGAGATTGGTATATTAAAATAATTTTAAAATTAATAAAAAAATTAAATTTTTAAAAAATAAAGCTTCAACCATGTTCCGAAACGTGTCCATAATGTGAGCTTATCCAAGTTGTTGTATTGTGCAGTTCTTGTTCAGACTCGTTAACTGGATCTTGTTTTCAATCTACTTGAAAGGACCTCGAACCTGTCCATTTACATTAGGTAATGACTCTAGTTTGTGCCTAAGTCATCCACTAATGTTAGACAATTGGAATCCGACTTCCTAGTTCCGACAAAGAGAGTTTATCATTGTTCACATCACATAATCATGTATTACATGACCATGTGGATCAATTTATTTTATATAAAAATAAATAAATAAATAAAATTTAAAAATATTAGATTTTTTTATAAAATTATACCCAAAAATCTTAAATTTAATTTAAAAACATGATCAAAGAGTAATATTTATAATATTAATAATAACATTAAATTTTCATAACCTAAACTTAAGTGAGTTTAGCTGCAATACCAGACTCAATAGTTTTAGAAAAAACTACAAAACTAAATTCTCAACTAAATTAGTATTTAAAAAATTAAAGAAAATTTTGAAAAGAATCATTAAAAAAAAAACATGCAGGGAAACACTATAGCAATCTATAGTGTTTTATGAGGAAATCTACAATTATAATTCTTAATCAGTTCAATAATTAAAATAATAAAATTGATAAAAATAATTTAAAAAAAATCATAACAAAAATAATTTCACGCGGGGGAACATTGTAGCCATCCACGGTGTTTTAAAAAAAAAACTCATAAAACTAAATTCTCAACTATTTCAATATGAAAAAAATAGAATCGACAAAGAATAATATGAAAAAAAAATATGTGGAGAAACATTGTAGTAAAACAAAAACAATATGGGGAAATATTGCAACAATCCACAATATTTTAAAGAAAAAAACTATAAAGTAAAATCGACAAACTGTTTTGAAAAAAAAGAGAAAAATTTCATTAAAAAAGCCATGCAGGGAAACATTGTAGTGATCCATAAGTTTTTCTTTAAAAAACCAATGAAGAAAAAGAACAAAAATCTAAATGAACTGGGTTAACCTTTCATAACAAGTTAATCCATTAAACTTTGGATTCACGTCATGAAAGTTTGATAACTAAATAGAAAAAAAAAGTTGATGGGTTACCGACAATTAATTGGGTTAACCCGTCAAACCTGGAATCTGTGTCATGAAAGTTTGATAACAAAATAGAAAAACACTTAATATCAACAAACTAAATAAAAAATTAATTAAAAAAAGACATCAATATTTTCACTATGGGCTGCACTGTGCAGTCCACAGTGAAAGGCATAAAATAATAAAGGCATCAATATTTTCATTGTTGACTGCATGCAATATTAAAAGATGAAATTAGAAGAAAAAAGTTTATGAGAAAAAAGAAAAAAAAACTGAATCAACTAGGTTAAGCCGTCAAACCTGAGATCCGTGTCATGAAAGTGTGATAATTAAATAGAATTTTTTTTTAATATTAATGAACTAAATTGAAAAAATTAATTAAAAAAGAAAAGGCAAAGAGAAAAAAACTTATAGGAAGACAAAAACTAATGGAGAAAAAAGAAAAAAAATCTGAATCAACAGGTTAAACCAATGAAGAAAAAATTAATATTAAAAAACTATAGAAAAAAATAAACTAAAAGCATAAGATTTTTCACTGTGGATTGCACTGTGCAGTCCATTTTAAATGATTTAAAAAGAAAAAGGAAAAGAAAAAAAATAAAAGGCATACGCCACGGGTTAATTTGTTTTATATATAAAAAATATCAAAAAAAGCTAGGATCTAAGAGTGTCAGGTCTTTCTGTAAAGACATGCGCAAAAGTCTTGGATCCAGTTACAACACTTGACCCAGGAGTAATATTTATAATATTAATAATAATATTAAATTTACATAACTTAAGTTCAAGTGAGTTTGACTGCAATATCGAACTCAAGAGCACTAGATATGGATCTAGCTATAAAGTCATGTCATAAAAGCGTGATAACTAAATAGATCAATTAAAAAGAAAAAAAAACAAGAGGAAGAAAAATCTAATGAAGAAAAAGAAAAAAATTGAATCAATCGGGTTAACCCGTTTAACCTAGGATCCGCGTCATGAAAATTTGATAACTAGATAGAAAACAATTGACGGGTTTACCCAAAGTTAACTAGGTTAATTCGTCAAACTCGTAATACGTATCATGAAAGTCTGATAATTAAATAGAAATAAACTTAACATCAAGAAACTAAACTAAATGAAAAAAAATAAT